CTGAATAAGATGTAAAAATATCTGTTAAATTTTAAAAAAGCATAAAACTCAAAAAGTGTATTGAAAAAATAGAAGATGATCGATTCGAATAAAATAATGTTGGTTGTTTTGGGGGGGCTTTTTGGGGGGGATGGGGGGAAACGGATAAAATATGAGTGGAATAAGCAGTTGATACAAGGAATGGGATGTGTTTTTCTAGCAACCAGATGAAGAGAATAAATATACAGAGAGTCCATGCAGTGACAGAACTCTGATATCGCTGATGTTCAAGCGCACCATGAACCTATCTTGGTCTAAGACCCAGTTCTTTCACATGTAGAAAGATAAGTACTATTGATGCTTACATGGATTAGAGAGAACCCATTTCTTTTTATTTTGCGTGTTAGATGGTGTAACTGGGGGATATGTGAAAAATTAATGTCGCTCCCAAGCAGTGCTTAACAAACATTGGTTGGGTCTGTCTGCTAATGAAGGGCTAAAGTCATCGGTTTACTGGATCAGGTAAATTCAATAAATGTTTGATACTTGCTGTCTTTGATACTGATCGGAGATTACTTCTTAATGGCCTCTTGTCGGGAATTACTGATCTATTCAGATCATGAACTTTTCATTTATCCTGATTAAAAATTATTCTTTAATAAGTAAGAAGAATCTGCGTACATTTGCAAGTGTTTGAATTTGTCTTTTATTTATTTTTATATTTATCTTTATATTTATTTCCTTAGCCTACTAATATTGCAAGTGAATTTATTTTATTTGTTTAAATATTGATTAAAATACTATTATGCTTGTTCTTAGGTTGGTTGGTTGGTTGGTTGGCTGTTTAAAGCTGCACTCAGCAATATTCCAGCTATATGACAGCAGTCTGTAAATAATCGAGTCTGGACCAGACAATTCAGTGATTGACATCATGAGCATCGATCCATACAATTGGGATCGATGACATGCATCAACCAAGTCAGCGAGCCTGACTACCCGATCTCATTAGTCGCCTTTTACGGCAAGCATGGGATCTTGTTCTTAGGGACATACCATTTGGTACTCATCCTGGGATTTTGTTAAAAAAAAGGTCCCAGAAAGTGTCCAGAAAAAACAATTATGATTCCGACTGTGGAATTTGTCTTTCACAAATTAATTTTTGTATTTAGGCTCATAGTTTTGCTTAAAAACATATCTGGTTTTGCAGCTGCAGCTGAAAATAAATATCTAGCCACCATACAAACTCCCAGCGTACCATCTCTGTGTCGTTAATGCTTGTGTTGTCGTTTATATCTTCATTTTCAAGAGTGCTGATGATATTTATCCTCAAATTAACCTTGACGACTTTTTATTCATTTTGCTGCTTCAAGCATCATGTCATTTCAACCCAAACAATAAGTTTTATTGCCCTGGCATAATGTTGCTATTCATCAATGAAGTTTTACAAAATGAATTTTCCCATTTTTATAAATCAAGATTAGAGTTGTTTTGGCAACTGCTTCAGATACATCTCACATATAATTCAAATGTATTTGGCATAAAAATAATCAATTGATCTATGGAGTTGTAAAAATGGATTTACCATCATGCATGCATTTTGATGAAGCACTTTAAAAAAAATGTGTGAACAGAATAATCAAACTTTTGAGAACCCGTGTAGGAATTAAGTAGGGATCCATTGGCAGTCTTGTGATGTACTGATGTATACTAGCAGAAAAAGTAACTGTGTTTCATATAAAGTGATGTTAATGTTATGTCAATGAAAATAACCTCATAATATTTGGTCATTGGTCTCATCAGTGTTTTGTCAGAACAAATTCACTGACAAAACCAATATTGTAACAGGAGAGAGAGCAACACACCCTAAAAGAGGGGTGGTGTACCAACTCAATTAACTGCATCAATATTGGGTGTGACCATCATTTGCTTTAATACAGCCAGGGCCGTGGCGGCGCATTGAAAACACCAGATGATTGAAAACGACTTGGGATGTTGTTCAAAATGTCAACCAAAGATTGATCCAACTGAGCTGGCAGAACCGGCTTGTTCTGGTCCCAGCGTAGGCATCGTTCCATCTCATCCCAAACATGTTCCATGGGGGAGAGGTCTGAAGAAACAGCCTCCATGGCAGTACAGCAATGTTATGCTGCCTCAAGAGGTCTGTTACAACACATGCAACGTGTGGGCGGGCATTATCTTGCTGCAATGTAACGTTGTGTTCCTGCATTTTCTCAAATGGTAACTCATGATCTTGAACCATGTTGTCACGGTAGCATACACCATTTATATTGCCATTAACAATGATGAGTTGTGTTCTCCCATGAGTTGTGCTGCCACCCCCTACCATTACCCTTCCACTCCAAGCTGATGATGTTGAGTAATGCAGGCATTGCTGAAACATTCTCCTGGATGCCTGAAGACCCTATCATGACCATCAGAGCTGTCCAGATGAAACCTGGACTCATCTGTGAACAGTATGCTGTCCCAGTCTCGTCTTCTGACCCTCAGATGCTGTCTACACCAAGCTAGGTGTGCCAGACTGTGATGTGGAAGTAAAATTGGATGTTGGGGCTGGATATTCTGCTCTGTCAACCAGTTGTTTGCGTATGGTTCTGCCACTAATCGGTCTCAACCCAGAAAATGCCTGAGCTGTTAAAGGTGACAGTTTGATGTCAATTTTGTTGATGCACCAACTGAATATGGTTGTCCTGTTCACGTGACATCGCATGTGGATGACCGGCTTGTTGCAAGTCATGACTGTTGATAACATCTTCAAAGAGATAATATTGTGTTTAGATGGACATTGAAATGTCTTTGTTTTGCATCATTCCTGTTTGCAGCATACCCACGGTGCATAGACGTTGATTTTAAGCAAACTGTGGCATTGTGTAAGGATTATTTATGGTAGGACAAAAGTGTTTTTATGAACACCAGATCGATAAACAATCTTTGCATGCAGCTGTACATTATAAAACCGTGTGTGAGTGCAATGCCCCCAACTAACACAATAACATCAAAATTGTGCACCCTGCATAGTGCAAATTGTTCATAAAATACAGACAACCTTCACAACATGTTTGTCAGTATTTACGTAACTGTCATCCGACTTTCAACAATATATAGGCCATACCGTTTTTTAACTGGCGACCATACCTTTCAACGTTAACACGATTGAGAGGTCACACGACCCCTTTCATGGACTCATCCCTGAGAAAACAGCTTTATTTGATCATGAAACATGTTATACTTACATTGCATGTGGAACTTTAGAGTAGATATAAAATACATCACATGTTCTGAATGAAGGTTGGATATTAATGGTGGAAATGGAGACACAATGACAGAGAGTCCCTCATATTGCCTCTCGTAATGCTTCCGATTTAGATTCCCATTAAGTGTTATGACATATTGGAGTGCTGCTTTCTGGTATAATATTTCTCTGTAATCGACTGACTATTTTACAGCTAAACGAATTCTGTCTTTTACCACCATTGACTCAAACACCAAAGTTATTTGCAGATTAAGAACAAATACATGTTATCTGCAATGTAAAAAATAGAGATAGTTATACCAGCATGTGTGGCATTCTGATTTTACAAAACAAGTGTTTTGAATTCTTGTATTTCCTGAGTGAGAGCAAGGGTAATGCATGAATTCTTACACAAGTTTCCTTAAATCAATATGACACACATGCAAGTGTAACAATTTCTTAAGTACCCATAGTTTATTACCGTATTCGACGTAATAAGCGCCCTGCTCTAATAAGCGCCCACAGCGACATTTGCTAATATATTGGCTGATGAACAATCCCAATTAGCATCCCTTCCGATTGATCAATGTACACAAGACTTACTCATTCGCGTATAATATGCACTCGTGTGTTATATGCACCCTTAGTTATGGGCTAATAAATTCTGGATTATAGATATTATATCTGTCGTACATAAATACTTCAGTCTGTAAAAAACACGAAATTTATCTTTCAACTCTGTTTTTTTCACCAAAATAATATTCTAATAAGAGCCCCCTATTTCTAATTTTGAGAGCGCCCTGGGCGCTTATTATGTCGAATACGGTAATCCTTTTGAGCTCCCCTTGAGACAATTACACTGATCATGACCTCCATCACAGAAAACCACCATCTTTAGCTTTGACGCTGTTTCTAGTGTGACATCATTCTGACATTACATCAAAATAAGAATGACATCAACAATGCCGTAAACAATACACTGGTGCGCATGAAGTGATATTTGCAGTAGTGCACATATAATTTTTATGAACTCGGTTATTTCTAACCCCATGACTAAGCAATAGCAACTTAGTCATTCCAGAGTCTGAAGAGCGGGTTTCCATGGTAGGGTTTTGGGAGTAAATACGTCCCTCCTGAACTTTTGTTCTGGGGGAATCGATATACCAGGAGTATTGGTCCCTGTGGAACTATGTACCTGGGATAAGGACTTTATTTTCTTATCACAGTCAGTTTCTACATATGAATTTTATTCCTCTGGAATATTAATACCTAGGACTAATTCATCGTTTCCAATTCTCCCTGTTTATTATTCCAGATTTGTAACCATAACCATGCTCAAGGTTTCACCAGAGTGTTAAACTTCTAGGATCTGCATGACTTGGTTCCTTCCTCACACGCTTTACTGACATGCCTTAATATGAGGTAAACCCTTGAAGATCCCGGGTAGAATAGGTCTTCAGCAACCCATGCTTGCCGTAAAAGGCGACTATGCTTGTCAATGCTGATTTGTCTCAGCTAGAGTGGTGTTGTAATGTCATTCTACTAATACCAAGGCTTCACTAAACATGATGTGGGGATGTAATAGGTTTTACTAAGTGATCTGGAGATCTGTTAAGATATGATGGAAGAATGGGACTCAGTTGTTTGGAAGCTGGGACTAGAAAGGTCATAGTTCCTTTTCTACAGTGTTGTCAGCCCTGTTTCATTGTTGGTCTGTATCTGCAGTACTGTCATCCCTGTTTTAATGTTGATTTGTTTCTTCTTGTTTCAGAAATTGGTGAAGGCTGCAGAGGCAGCTAATCGGGAATATGGTGCCTACAAGAAGCCAGAACAGCTTGACCCAGAGGTGAGTAACAGGGGAGGGAGGTGTTCTCAGTGATGTGTTTCCTCAAGATCATGTGGACATTGGTGCCTACATGAAACCAGAAGAGCTTCACCCAGAGGTGAGTTATAGTGGAGGGAGGTGTTCTCAGTGTTGTGTTTCCTCAAAGTCATATGGACATTGGTGCCTACATGAAACCAGAAGAGCTTCACCCAGAGGTGAGTTATAGGGGAGGGAGGTGTTCTCAGTGTTGTGTTTCCTCAAAGTCATGTGGACATTGGTGCCTACATGAAGCCAGAAGAGCATGACCAAGAGGTGAGTTATAGGGGAGGGAGGTGTTCTCAGTGTTGTGTTTCCTCAAAGTCATGTTGACATTGGTGCCTACATGAAGCCAGAAGAGCATGACCAAGAGGTGAGTTATAGGGGAGGGAGGTGTTCTCAGTGTTGTGTTTCCTCAAAGTCATGTGGACATTGGTGCCTACATGAAGCCAGAAGAGCATGACCAAGAGGTGAGTTATAGGGGAGGGAGGTGTTCTCAGTGTTGTATTTCCTCATGGTCATATGGACATTGGTGCCTACATGAAGCCAGAACAGCTTGACCCAGAGGTGAGTTATAGGGGAGGGAGGTGTTCTCAGGGTCATGTTTCCTCAAGGTCATATGGACATTGGTGCCTACATGAAACCAGAAGAGCATTACCCAGAGGTGAGTAACAGGGGAGGGAGGTGTTCTCAGTGTTGTGTTTCCTCAAGATCATGTGGACATTGGTGCCTACATGAAACCAGAATGGCTTGACCCAGAGGTGAGTTATAGGGGAGGGAGGTGTTCTCAGTGTTGTGTTTCCCCAAGATCATTTGGACATTGGTGCCTACTAGGATCTGCTGGACAAATCACAGGTATTCCCAATGATAATGATATTTGTTCAACAATCAGCACCATGCCAGTACTCACCAAAGTGGTTAACATCTATGACATCTAGCATTAAGGGACCAGTCATTTATTATAGATCAGGGAGGGGGTTCAGAGGGATCAGGGAAGGGTTTCGCAAAAAAACAACAGTCTGAATGTTGGTTGTCATGAGGGAGTTGGTTTCCTGAAAATAAATGTAATTCTTTGATAAAGGGAAATTAAGTGTTTGATCACCCATGAAGCACAGCATGGGTGGATACAGAGGGTGGGTGCGGGGATGCGCACCCCCCCTTTTTATTTCGAAAAAAATCTTTATTTCTGTAAAAATTACCACCAAAGACAATAAATAGATCTTAATTGTGTGCACCCCCCCTTTTCAAAAAAGCTGTATCCGCCCATGCACAGTGTATTCTGAGATTCAAGATTATGATAAACTGTGTTCTCTGATATAATTGTAAGTATTTATGCCTCAGTATCCTGGCTATATCATAGTTGCCTGTAAATAATTGAGTCTGCTGCCCCACAATCACTTGATCAATCATTTTAATAGGCTCTAACAACAAGCATGGGGTTCTGGGAACCTATTCTGACTCTAGTTCTTCATGTAGTGGATTATTGGCTACATTCCTGACTTATTAGTGCCATATGCTTCTCCAGGAGATAGCGTACTTCAATGCCAAAAAGCTGGTGAGTGACGACAACGTGCGGGACTTGACCAACGAGACCAAGGAGGTGATCAAGCAAACCATCCACTACCTCAAAGTAGACAACACATACGAGGACTTCAACTACAACAGCGTCAACCTCACTGTCAGCACCATACATGTACCCACTAATATATATGATAAATGTGAGTACTGATTTATTGAACTGGGGTAATTGGAAGAATTATGACATGTACACTTGTAGCCATGGTGTTGTGATGTCATAGCATTCCAGAGTCACCTGTATAAGTTATTCAGAAAATGATCAATAACATTTTGTGTTCACAATGGTCATATATGGCAGTTTACAATATTAAGGAGGTACGGGCCATTTCATATTCTTGGGGGAACCTGGGATTTTATCCCCAAAAATATATTGTCCCAGAAAATGCTTGAAAAAAATAATGCTTCAGACTGTTGAAAAAAGAAATTGTCTGTCACAAAAAATACAATGTTGCAAATGCTTTTTTCACACAAAAATATATTTTATCGAAAAAAATAAATTGTCCGAGAAAATGCTGGAAAAAAGAATTATGCTTCAGGCTGTTGAAAGAAGAAATTGTCTGCTACAAAATACATTGTTGCAAGATGCTTTTTTTGCAAAAAATATATTAAGCCTTATAGTTTTAAATGAAAATGGTCGGCCCCTAAGTCTATCACGTCAGAGAAAACAAGATTAGGTTTGATTAATAATGATTATTTAGTAACAAACTAACATCAATCTTCTGTCTTTAAAATTTCATATGTTGGTCTCTTCATTGCCAGGGTATGAAACTCCCAAAAATTTCAGCCAGACCACAGGACTGGCTAGCTGAAATACTTGCCAGCCCTGACCAAAACCTGCCTGCCCACTATAATCATATGTTTCTCAGGATAATTTAATTAAAAATATGAAAACTGATTGCTTGTAGCATAAGCGCATCGCTAAATGTTAGGTTGTCTAAAAGCTAACGGGGTTTCTTTTTGGTTACATTTTATCATTCATCTTTACATGTGAATTAATGCTTATCATCAGGAAATATTTAGAATATTTTCACCTATGAAATATAACCCGACCGTCGGGCAGGAGGATTTGAAAATCTGGCAGCCCGAGTTGAAATCAACCCGTCTCGGACGGTCGGGCAGGCAGGTATTTCGAACGCTGTCATTGCCTTTAGTTTATCTCATAAAATAGAAATTAAAACCAATATGCCTGATATTGTTATGATTTTACACTTTTTTAAAAACTTGTCTTATCCTTTTCAGCTGTAAAAATATTAAATGGTGTGAGTTGGAGTGAAAACATGACAGAACAGTTTACAGAAAACTTGAAGGATGACCCATCCCTCACCTGGCAGTACTTCTGTAGCTCAGATGGATTCTTTAGGATATACCCAGGTAATATACAGGATATACTCAGGTAATATACTTGATATATTCAGGTAATATATATGATATACCCTGGTAATCTGCAGGATATACCAGGGTAATATACAGGATATACCCAGGTAATATACAGGATATACCCAGGTAATATACATGAGAATGTGAAGACTCCCCAACACTGCAGGCTTTTGCATTACCCAGATTGTCAGAAGGGGTGTATTCCTTGCAGCGAACCCGGGTACTCTCCCAATGTTAGTCAACAGATTGGGAGGTAGCAAGCTAAGGCACTGAGTCAGACAACTTGGTTCTTGAGATGCAAGCATAATATTTCTAAAGCGAGGTCCACATATTTGCCATGTTTTTCTTGAATCTTGTCAATCACATTAGTCACAAAAGGGACAGAAAATTCAATGATATTAATGATTGCATTGGATTTATCAAAAAGGACAAGATCGGGTTTGTTGGCCAGGATACATCTGAGGCTGAGTATGGGTCTATTTCAAAGAATATTGTATGTCTCATTTTCCATGACGCCCTCTACATATTCTGGGTCGTACCATGGATGGACCTCTGTGTCAAAACCACGAGCATTGCGAAGATGGTAATAAAATGATTGATCCACTCCATCATGTCGCTTAAGATACTGTTTTTGTGCCAAAGCTGGGCATCCACTGACAATGTGTTGGACAGTCTCATTAAATTAATTGCATATTCTACATTTCATATTAAAATTTTGATGCAAAATCACACATTGTTGGTTTTGAGTAGGAAGTTACTGGTCCTGAGCAGCAAACAGAAAGCCTTCATCCAAGCGAGGATTGCTGTTTGTTTTTTTATTGTTGTTTTTGTTGTTGTTGTTGTTGTTGGTCTTCTTCTTCTTATAAAATAGACAAATGTGTTTCTTTTCAGGAATAATTTGGCCAAGGGATCCTGACAAAGTCGATATGTTTGACTGCAGAGTTAGAAACTGGTAAGTTTAGATTTATATTTCATCGGCACTGTTGCTCTTCCTTGATGGCTTGACAGTTGGTCTGCTCCAGGCCTTCTTACACCTGGCTCGTTGTAGCCCTTGCTGACATAAACTCATTCTCAATTCTCATTGGTTCAAATCCCAAATTTGCTCTGTATCTTGGCTTGTGACAGTGATACACATCTGAAACCTGCATAACTTGGGACTTTTCTTCACGTGAAACTGACATGCTCTAACCGAGATACTGTTCAAAGAAGCATTAAACTCAACTCACTCACTCTTATATTGCTGAGGCAGTTGAGACAAATCCACAAGCTCCTTCCCAGCGCGTGACACCTTCGTTACATTCTCAGTAACATCACTGCCACAATTGTGGGCGCGGCCATTACAAGAATCTTCAAATTTGCCCTCCAACCCCAAATGTAGTAACGTTTATACTTTTGTTTATATCTTTGAGAATGCCATCATATTTCATCTGGAAAGGTTTATGACTGACCATGTTTTCCAGATGAATTTACTTTGTTGTTCACATGAAACTGACATGCTCTAACCGAAATACTGTTCAAAGAAGCATTAAACTCAACTCACTCACTCTTATATTGCTGACACAGTTGAGATAAATCCACAAGCTCCTTCCCAGCGCGTGACACCTTCGTTACACTCTCGGTAACATCACTGCCACCATTGTGGGCGCGGCCATTACAAGAATCTTGAAATTTGCCCTCTAACCCCAAATGTAGTAACATTTGTACTTTTGTTTATATCTTTGGGAATGCTGTCATATTTCATTTTGGAAAGGTTTATGACTGACCATGTTTTCCAGATGAATTTACTTTGTTGTTTGTATAATCAGATTGGTTCAAGATTGCAGACTAACGGAAAATCAACCAACTTCTCCCTTACATTCTTACTATATCAATAACATGATAGTTTTAATGAAATAGAACTTCAAATTGACAAGCAAAGAACAGTTATTTAACAGAGGTAAGTGTATTCGGCGTCACGACAGTCGGTACTTATTTGTAAACATAACGGTCATTCGGTTGCGACTCGCGAGTTCAACTCCAAGCATGGTTGTGGCCCCCATCACAGTGGGGAGTTTTGACTGGTGGCAGTGATAGTATAGAGAGCTCCGCGAACGGGCTATCGCTGTGAGGAGCTTGACAAACCCATCTAAAAGGGACTTAACTCTTTGGTCAAATGGGTGTACAAGTTAAATGTGTGATGTAGTTCTGTGACATGTTGCACGCTTCCAGGTACATTCAGGCAGCTACTACACCAAAGAACATCGCCATCTTGATGGATGCCAGTGGCAGCATGAAAGGCATGAGGATGGAGATAGCCAGGAAAACTGTGGACAAGATCTTAGATACCCTTAGCAATGATGACTACTTCAATATTCTACAGGTACCTTGTCTTTCTGGTAACAGCTAGATAGGATATAGATAACTGTGGTTTCTATCAATATTTGTTGGATCATGTGGGTTTTGGGTAAGAATAGGTGGCCAGGTCCCACTTGCACAAAGCGATCTTAGTGCGGTCGGGTAGCCTAGTGGTTAAAGCGTTTGCTCATCACGCCGAAGACCCGGGTTCAATTCCCGACATGGGTACAATGTGTGAAGCCCGTTTCTGGTGTCTCCCCCCCCCCCCCATGCTGGAAAATTGCTAAAAGCGGCGTTAAATCAATACTCACTCAAAGCGATCTTAGCGCTACGACTATCGTAAGCCTATGTTAAAGTATGGGAGTTCCGTTCATCTTAGCGCTAAGATTGTTTTGTGCAAGTGGGCTCAGACCAATGCTGGTTGTAAGAGCTGGTGGTCAGGCTCTCTGACTTGGCGTGTCATTGTTCCTGATGGTGTGTCCTCAGATAACGGGAGGGGCGGTCGGGTAGCCTAGTGGTTAAAGCGTTCGCTCGTCACGCCGAAGACCCGGGTTCGATTCCCGACATGGGTACAATGTGTGAAGCCAATTTCTGGTGTCCCCCGCCGTGATATTGCTGGAATATTGCTAAAAGCGGCGTAAAATCATACTCACTCACTCACTCAGATAGCTGAAGAGTCACCATGCCGCCCGGGTTTATCTCTTCCGGTACTTAGAGCAGTAGGAGGCATTGCCAAAAGTTTTGTTTTTATTTGTTTGTTGTTTAATGCCACACTTCAGAAATATTCCAGCGATATGATGATGGTATGTAAATAATCGAATCTGAACTAAACGATCCAGTGATTGACATCTACACAATTGGGATGTCGTGCATCAACCGAGTCATCGAGTCTGTTCACCAAATCCTCTTTGTCGCCTCTTATGACAATTAGGTTTCTGAAGTTCAGTTTTAATGTTTCCAAAAAAGGTCACTTGGTGCATAAGAATGAAGTTTATTCAAAGATTTTTGAGCTAAAGAAATAAAGAAATATATACTTGATAAAGTCAAGATTGTTTTGATAACTGGCCTCATATTGACGGTAGTTTAAAAAAACACACCCTCATTTTATGATTTTGACACATTTTTTTCCAGTTTTCTGACGAGGTGTTGTACGTAGACGAGTGTTTCAATCGCACCATGATGCAGGCCAGTGTCGACAACAGGAGGCGGATGCAAGATGAGCTGGAAAATGTCAACACAGCAAAAATGGCCAACTTTGAGAATGCACTTGTGGAAGCTTTCATGTTGTTTGAAACAGTGAGTCCAGCCCAGTCAGTTTTAGCTCACCTGACTGAATATCCAGTGTGCTTATGTTGTGGCATGTTTGTCAGTCGTCGGTCATGAAAACCTATAGAGGTGAGGTGAGGTGAAATGGGGTTTAACGTCGTGTCCAAGATTATTGCACTTATATAGCAACGTGCATGCACATGTGTTGCTGCTTGTACTAGTCCGGACTGATGCCGATTTATAGCGCTAGCCCACCGAGATACCATGCCGCAGTTTAACCTGAATACCCCACTCAGACACAGTATACTGACTTCGAGCCGACAAGTCCTTGTTTTTACCCCTTAATGCCAAGTGCCAGACAGGGTAACAACAAGTACCATCTTTTAACATCTTTTGATATGATGCGGCTTGGGATCGTACCCCGGACCTTTGCTCTCCGGGCGGACACTCCGGATCCACCACTAGACCATGGAGGCAGTCAACACCTATAGAAATGTCAACACCTATAGAAATGTCAACACCTATAGAAATGTCAACACCTATAGAAATGACATGACTAATGAAGCTAAAACTTAACAAACTTCCCTCTAATGATGGCATCCCAATTTATTCAAGAGGCATGGAACGCTTTCTCATTATGGCTGCAATTGCAGTTGCACTATCTTTCTGCCTTTTATGCCACTCATAGTGCTGTATGAGTGGGAACCATTTAAACCAGGACAATAGGCCAGGACAGTTCAGGCACAATTCAGGGAGTCTCTTTTATTTCCCTTAAAAGATCCATGATGCAAACATATTTTAAAACACCCTGTGCTGTTTTGAAACATCCTCGATCACTGCCTCGTTGAACATATCTGATTGGTACAAGAATCTGTCTTAGAGTTACACGAAGACAAAACAAAATCTTCAAGACTCTACTGTTAGTGTAATGGATCAGGCCTTAGGTGTAGAGGTTTATTGGATGCAAATATTGATGACCAGTTTATGAAATTTGATTCTATTACATTTATTAATGTGAGTGATGTAATTTTCAGGTTGAACAGGATTTAAAGAGGACTCTGTGTAATAAGGCCATTATGCTAGTCACTGACGGAGCGCCAGAAAATTATGAAGAGGTGTTTGAAGAATATAACTGGCCAAACAAAACTGTAAGTATCATACACCAATATCACTCTGTTTTAACAGTATAAATAACAAAGAAATAATGTCAATACTAGCAAATATCATGGTACAACTTTACACAGACATTAAGGCCTATAATACTGAAGGCATACAATACTGGTGGCATGTCATACTTGTGGGCCTATCATACTGGAAACATATCATATTGGAACCATAATATCATACTGAAGGCATGCAATACTGGAGGCATATCATACTTGAGGGCCTATCATACTGGAAACATATCATATTGGAACCATAATATCATACTGAAGGCATACAATACTGGAGGCATATCATACTTGAGGGCCTATCATACTGGAAACATATCATACTGGAACCATAATATCATACTGAAGGCATACAATACTGGTGGCATGTCATACTTGAGGGCCTATCATACTGGAAACATATCATACTGGAACCATAATATCATACTGAAGGCATATCATACTTGAGGGCCTATCATACTTGAGGGCCTATCATACTGGAAACATATCATATTGGAACCATAATATCATACTGAAGGCATACAATACTGGAGGCATATCATACTTGAGGGCCTATCATACTGGAAACATATCATACTGGAACCATAATATCATACTGAAGGCATACAATACTGGAGGCATATCATACTTGAGGGCCTATCATACTGGAAACATATCATATTGGAACCATAATATCATACTGAAGGCATACAATACTGGTGGCATATCATACTTGAGGGCCTATCATACTGGAAACATATCATACTGGAACCATAATATCATACTGAAGGCATACAATACTGGTGGCATGTCATACTTGTGGTCCTATCATACTGGAAACATATCATATTGGAACCATAATATCATACTGAAGGCATACAATACTTGAGGCATATCATACTTGTGGTCCTATCATACTGGAAACATATCATACTGGAACCATAATATCATACTGAAGGCATACAATACTGGAGGCATATCATACTTGAGGGCCTATCATACTGGAAACATATCATATTGGAACCATAATATCATACTGAAGGCATACAATACTGGTGGCATATCATACTTGAGGGCCTATCATACTGGAAACATATCATACTGGAACCATAATATCATACTGAAGGCATACAATACTGGTGGCATGTCATACTTGTGGTCCTATCATACTGGAAACATATCATATTGGAACCATAATATCATACTGAAGGCATACAATACTGGAGGCATATCATACTTGAGGGCCTATCATACTGGAAACATATCATATTGGAACCATAATATCATACTGAAGGCATACAATACTGGTGGCATGCAATACTGGAGGCGTAAGGGAACTAAAATTGGTCAATTTTGCCCTAGAAAAGTACTGGGCCACATTTCTTGCATGTGTCTTTGAATTACCTAGACTATTCATATTGTGCATGCTCTTGTTTGTTCTCTTATCTGCTCTGATACAACATTTGTGATAGTTTCCATTTTCAGCTCCAGGAAGTATTATCATATAAATGTTTTGTTTGTTTTTAATACAAAATTCATTTACTCCACCAGAATTTATCCTTCCTAAACACAAATCTGACACTTGAATGAAATACATTTGATATTGTAGAATAGTGTCATGTAAGAGAAAATGTACTTGATTAGCATTGCAAGTTTCATCACTCTTGGTATAAAATCCCAGACCATTCCAGAAACTATGGTCAAACACAGTTGTGTCAAAGTTGAAGTAACCTAGGTAAGTGCTTATAATTATCCGAGGTTCGTCAAAACCGAAAATGATGAATAAAGAAGGAACACGCAGTAACCACGCTTGATGTGGGTGTGAAATCAGTAACAAGTGTGAAAACTCAACACATTCTCAAAATAACCCCAGCAAATATGGAGTGGGGTATTCCAACGACTCCTTGTACAATCCTCAGTGTGGGTATTTCCAGCTCTCAGTACTCAGGATCAACTGTGTCTTTAATGAATGAAGCAGCAGATGAGGTGCCCCTGGGCACATGGGGGTGGAGCACTTCAGCAGAAGCCTGCCATGTTTCACCACAGTTGCACCAGATGGCCAGGTGTGACCTGCCTCTGTATCCTGCGTGGATGCTGACTTCCTTCAGGCTGGGGTTATTTTAGCCATCATTGTTTTCCCCATGATTCAATAATCCCCAATACGATGTGCCCAAAGCAGGGTTATGTTTATACACTGCAGAACAAAGCATCATTAGAGAATAAAAAAGTCATTTCTTTGAAGGTGGAAGATGTCGTTATTGGTGCTGAATATGGACAAGATGGTGCTGCTAGCTATTGATTCAGGAGAAGATTCTGCTGCTAGCTATTGATTCAGAAGATTCAGTTGTTAGCTATTGATTCAGAAGATTCAGTTGTTAGCTATTGATTCAGAAGATTCAGCTGTTAGCTATTGATTCAGAAGTTTCAGCTGTTAGCTATTGATTCAGAAGTTTCAGCTGTCAGCTATTGATTCAGAAGATTCAGCTGTTAGCTATTGATTCAGAAGATTCAGCTGTTAGCTATTGATTCAGAAGATTGAGTTGTTAGCTATTGATTCAGAAGATTCAGCTGTTAGCTATTGATTCAGAAGATTCAGCTGTCAGCTATTGAATCAGGAGAAGATTCAGCTGTTAGCTATCAATTCAGGAGAAGATTCAGCTATTACCTATGGAGTCAGGAGAAGATTCAGCTATTACCTATCGAGTCAGGAGAAGATTCAGCTATTAGATATTAGTTCAGGAGAAGATTCAGCTATTACCTATCGAGTCAGGAGAAGATTCAGCTATTAGATATCAATTCAGGAGAAGACTCAGCTATTACCTATGGAGTCAGGAGAAGAATAGGCTGTCAGCTATCAATTCAGAAGATTCATCTGTCAGCTATCGATTCAGGAGAAGATTCCATTTTTAGTTATAGATTCAAGATGTCACTTTCAGATATAGATTTCAGTGATGATTCGTCTTTCAGCTGTGGCTGTAGTGTGGGTTGAAGTGTTGGCTCATAGACGGCAGTGATATCCCACAAACTTACTTCATGCCCTCCCAACCTCCCTACTCAACTTTGGGGGATTCCAGAACAGCTTCCTTGTATTCCATATTTGTCAAAAGAGGCAACCAGCATCCGCCATGGGTGTTCACAAGGTGGGGCCTGGATAATTCTGTGTGATGGATGGCATTGATTGTTGCTCATCCACAGGTAGTCCTACCAATCGTGATTATATACAGCTAACTGTGAAACAGCATTTACTCACTCATGTTTGGACCTGGTGCTAAAAAGCACCTCTTTGATGTAAGATGTTTTTGAATTGGTATATTGGTGGACATGTTTTCTTCATAGTAACAGTCACCATCCTCCTGGGTCTAGGTTTGATTCCTTCTGTAGCTCAATTCTTGGTGAGACGTGTGAGAGTGAGTTGGGTGTAACGCCCCTTGTAACAGTATTCCAGTTATATCATGGTGTGTCAGCTTAATGTGAGAGGAAAGCCCGAAGTGATGCAGGTCTCACCCGTTTACCAATTCGGTGAAACCCACGAGCACGGGTATGGTCGTGTCAAACCTAGAAACATAATGGGGTCGAACCAGGATTCGAACCCACAATCATAGGTTTCTTGCATGCCCAAGGGACGCAACTCTGCACAGCGAATCGGGGTGCCTTAGACGACTGGGCCACCCGTGCCCCCCTGGTGGAACGAAGACTAAATTTGTCACCCTGAAGTATCGTTCATGCATTCAATTTCTTACTGTGTTTTCTTGAGTTTAGTGCACAATCTTTTTACGAAAAACACAGCTGTCTAGAGGGGTGCGCCTTATACATGCCATAATGAGTTTTGATGGGTTTTCCCCAGCATAAAGACATTACCGTGAGGTCGTAACACCGGAAATACCATGTCAACAAATCTATACTGAAGTACACAGTTTAATCAAGAAATTACACTGTCTGGTTATAAAAAAGTGATCAATGTATATCTGGACTTAATCTGTTTGTAATATTTTTTATTAATTTTGTTCAAAATTTGATTTGGTATGCTTCACATTAATTTCGGTGAAATCGTGTGTGAAGGTTTTATGCCACCTTCTAGTGATGTCATGGAACGGGCTTCAAACATGGTACCCTTAGTGGGAAAGGTGTTTAGCATGAAGAGCCGAAACCCTCCACCATCCCTCCACCAAATACATGTTTCAGTTTGGCACACTTAATGAATGCCTGTATGAAAAAGAATCATTCTTGAAAAAATAATTACATTTGGAAATGATTAAACATCGATTCAGGTTTGTGTCTGTTTCGCATTCAGCTGAACCAGCCCAATCCTGATCCCCTTCGTCCCCCAGTGTCTGTGCAGCGATCAAGGCATTAGTGCATCTGTAGTAAGGATGAAAGAGAAGCAATTATGCCTCCAAGTCCTCCAAAGGTGTTTCAGTACATTCCCCATCCTGAGCAAGAAGCGGAAATCCGAATCATAATTGATTTTAAGTTGGCCTGAGGGGCACATTGTGTGAGTGTGGCACCCACATAATTGAAGGGGGATCACCACACAAGAGGCTGTCATCGATATCGGACAGCTCTTCCGGCGATGCTTCCCAACTTTTTATGACATAATCTTTTCAGCAAGGTTTTATTAACTCTCTATGCAGCAGTGTCTTTTCCCTGTTAATGGCAAATAATGGCTTCATACTTCTCTAAGAATGTTTGTCTTGGATGCAGTGGTCAGTATGTCAGTCCATCTGACCATCCATCCATCCCTCTCATCTATCATATAACATTCATCCTCTGACATTCATCCATCTGATGTCCTGTCCATTTGACCATCCATCAGACCTATACATCTGATTACCACCCAACCATCCATCTCACATTCATCTGACCTATCCATCTGGCCATCTGTATATCTGATATCCATCTGACCTATCATCTGACCTAACATTCATCATCTGACATTCATCCATCTGACATCCACCTATCTGACATTCATCCATCTGACATCCTCCATCTGACATCCA